TGTGTTTTCATGGGTCTGTGTGTTTGTGTATCTTTATGTGTTTGTGTATATGTCAGTGTGTGTGTGTGTGTGTTCATGGGTTTGTGTGTTTATGGGTCTATGTGTTTGTGTATCTGTATGTGTTTGTGTATATGACAGTGTGTGTGTGTGTTCATGGGTCTGTGTGTTTGTGTATATGTATGTGTTTGTGTATATGTCAGTCTGTGTGTGCATCAGTGTGGGTTTGTGTGTCCGTGTTTGTCTTTTTGTGTCTATCTGTGTATGTGTCTGCATGTGTGTGCATCTATCTGCTTGTATGTCTGTATGTATGTCTCTGTGTGTGTTTGTCTATGGGTTTTTGTGTCTGCATGTGTGTACATGTAAGAGTGTGTATATATCAGTGTATGTATGTGTCAGTGACAGTGTCTGTCTGTGTGTATTTGTCTGTCTGTTTGTATGTGTGCCTGTTTGTTTGTCTGTATTTCTGTGTGCGTGTATATGGATGTGTGTGTGTGTGTGTGTGTGTCCGGATGTTTGTCTAAGTGTAAACTAGCAGGATTTTCCCTGTCTGAGAGCTCTGTGGCCCTCTGTGAGGTCAATTATTCTAGACTTTATCATTATTAAGTTGCAGTGAAGCTTCATTTGGATCATGTCCTCGGTTTATTTCTGCTATGAAGAAACTCTCCAGTGTTCTGCTCTTATTTTTAATGCTGGTTGGGAATATACAGCTCCGCTTGTTTATCAGAACAGCTGTCGGCCTCTTCTCCTGGTGTATTTATGTGTTTCATGAGCATGTGCTGCTTGTGTGTGTGTGTCTGTTAGTGCATGTTTGTCTTTCGGGACTCGTGTCTTTTACACCATTGGCTAGACGACGTCCCCGTGGCAACATCGGCTTAGCTGTGTGATTGACAGCTTCCCTGGGTTACAACCTCCTGCCGTGTTAGTGGGCAAACACACACACACACACACACATACACACACACCTCCTAATGCTACTCATCTCCTTTTTAACCAGTAGATTTACTCTGCTGTGTTCTCATGGGTTTAAAGCTTGAGTACATCTAGATAGTAGATAGCTTAAGATCCATTGTTTATAGTTTTACGAATTAGTAGCCATGATATAGGGCCTCAATGGTAAACCATTCATTCATTCATTTTCCTTCGGCTTAGTCTTTATTCATTAGGGGTCGCCACAGTGGAATGAACCGCTAACTTATCCAGCATATGTTTAACCATACATGTCAACATTGGGATGTGAAAATAGGGCATATTAATTATTAGATGTTATTATTACATGTACATGTCTGTTCAAACATGCACCCAAAACCCAGAGTGTCCACTTTCGCTCCGCTTCAAATCGCATGTGCAGAATCCGTTTGGAAAACTGTCTGTTTATCACTATAGAGCACGTCTGATAGTCAGGCATCGCTATATGACTGTTTTGAGGATTGCATAGGAGGGTTGACGATGCCTGTAATGGAAATGAAGGGAATCCCGCTGTTTTTATATTTATTTCAGTGTTTTCATGCTTAAACAAAATAAAAGTCAGAAGAGATTCACATTAAAGAGCGA